TTGGAAGCCCAGCTTGCTTGGGGCAGTTAAAACCAACAGCCTCCAGCTCTGCTGAAAATGCCCAAAAAAAAAAAAGAAAGCAAGTTGCCCAGAAGTAGGATCACCCCTACTTGGAAGCTGAAATTTCCTTAAAATTTCAAGCCATGTTCATGGCAGGTGTTGGGCACTCTCAAGTAGGACCACCCCCAACTTGGACCCAAAACCTATGCCACTAAAGCAATAAGGCCACACCAAGTAGGGTTACCTCCTGCGTGGAACCCAACCTGCTTAAGACAGCAGAGGCCCACAACCCTCTGGTCACTGCCTGGCAGTGTCGATGGGCAACCTGTGGCCTTCAAGTAGCGTCACCTCTACTTGGAAACCCAGCCTCCTGGAGGGAAGTCAGACCCAACAACCTCCAATTCTGCTGAATTTGCAAAAAAAAACAAGTGCCCAGAAGTAGGATCACCCCTACTTGGTAGCTGAAATTCGCTTAAAAATTCGAGCCAGATTCATGGCAAGTGCTGGGCACCAAAACGTAGGATCGCCCCCACTTGGACCCCAAAACTATGTCACGAAAGCAAGTGCGGCCACACCAAGTAGGATTACCTCCTGCTTGAAACCCAACCTGCTTAAGACAGCGGAGGCCCACAGCCCTGTGGTCACTCCCTGGCAGTGCCAGTGGGCAACCTGTGATCCCCAAGTAGCGTTACCTCTACTTGGAAGCCCAGCTTGCTTGGGGCAGTTAAAACCAACAGCCTCCAGCTCTGCTGAAAATGCCAAAAAAAAAGAAAGCAAGTTGCCCAGAAGTAGGATCACCCCTACTTGGAAGCTGAAATTTCCTTAAAATTTCAAGCCATGTTCATGGCAGGTGTTGGGCACTCTCAAGTAGGACCACCCCCAACTTGGACCCAAAACCTATGCCACTAAAGCAATAAGGCCACACCAAGTAGGGTTACCTCCTGCTTGAAACCCAACCTGCTTAAGACAGCAAACGCCCACATTTCTGTGCGCACTGCCGACACTCAGCTTGCTTGGGGCAGTCAAAACCAACAGCCTCCAGCTCTGCTGAAAACGAAAACCTCCAAGTCTCCACAAGTAGGGTCACCCCTACTTGGAAACCAAAATTCGCTTAAATACTGACGCCACGTTCATGGCAAGTGTTGGGCACCAACGAGTAGGATCACCCCCACTTGGACCCAAAACAATTGTCACTAAAACAAGTACGGCCACACCAAGCAGGATCACCACCTGCTGGAAACCCAACCTGCTTAAAACAGCAAGCGCCCACATTTTTGTGCGCACTGCCGACACCCAGCTTGCTTAGGGCAGTCAAAACCAACAGCCTCCAGCTCTGCTGAAAACGAAAACCTCCAAGTTTCCACCAGTAGGATCACCCCTACTTGAAAACCAAAATTCGCTTAAAAACTGACGCCACGTTCATGGCAGGTGTTGGGCACCAACGAGTAGGATCACCCCCACTTGGGCCCAAAACATATGTCACTAAAGCAATAAGGTCACGCCAAGCAGGATTACCTCCTGCTTGAAACCCAACCTGCTTAAGACAGCAGAGGCCCACATCTCTGTGCTCACTGCCGCCACCCAGCTTGCTTGGGGAAGTCAAAACCAACAGCCCCCAGCTCTGCTGAAATTGCAAAAATCCAGTTTCCAGAAGTAGGATCACCCCTATTTGGAAACTGAAATTTGCTTAAATTTCAAGCCATACTCATGGCAACTGCTGGGCACCCTCAAGTGGGATAATCCCCACTTGGACGCCGGACCTATGTTGCTAGAGCAAGTAAGGCCACACCAAGTAGGATTACCTCCTGCTTGGAACCCAACCTGCTTAAGACAGCAGAGGCCCACAACCCTCTGGTCACTGCCTTGCAGTGTCGATCGGCAACCTGTGGCCTGCAAGTAGCGTCACCTCTACTTGGAAACCCAGCCTCCTGGAGGGAAGTCAGACCCAACAACCTCCAGTTCTGCTGAATTTGCAAAAAAAACAAGTGCCCAGAAGTAGGATCACCCCTACTTGGTAGCTGAAATTCGCTTAAAAATTCGAGCCAGATTCATGGCAAGTGCTGGGCACCAAAACGTAGGATCGCCCCCACTTGGACCCCAAAACTATGTCACGAAAGCAAGTGCGGCCACACCAAATAGGATTACCTCCTGCTTGAAACCCAACCTGCTTAAGACAGCGGAGGCCCACAGCCCTGTGTTCACTCCCTGGCAGTGCCAGTGGGCAACCTGTGATCCTCAAGTAGCGTTACCTCTACTTGGAAACCCAGCTTGCTTGGGGCAGTCAAAGTAACCAACAGCCTCCAGCTGCTGAAATGGCCAGAAACCAAGTTGCCCAGAAGCAGGATCACCCCTACTTGGAACTGAAATTGTTCTTAAAACTTCAAGCCATATTCATGGCAGGTGTTGGGCACCCTCAAGTAGGACCACCCCCACTTGGACCCAAACCCTATGCCCCTAAAGCAATACGGCCATACCAAGTAGGGTTACCTCCTGCTTGAAACCCAACCTACTTGAGAACGCAGAGGCCCACAGCCGTGTGGTCACTCCCCCTGTGGTCCAAGCAATACTCATGGCAAGTGTTGGGCGCCATCAAGGAGGATCACCCCCGCTTGGACCCCAATATATGTCACGAAAGCAAGTACGGCCACACCAAGCAGGATCACCTCCTGCTGGAAACCCAACCTGCTTAAAACAGCAAACGCCCACATTTCTGTGCCCACTGCCGACACCCAGCTTGCTTGGGGAAGTCAAAACCAGCAGCAGCCAGCGCTGCTGAAATCGCAAATATCCAGGTTTCCAGAAGTAGGATCACCCCTACTTGGAAACTGAAACTCGCTTAAAAAGTCAATTCATATGCATGGCAAGTGTTGGGAACCCTCAAGTGCTGGGCACGCAGTGCAAACAGAGCCAAATGGATCAAATGGCCGAGCTTTGCTAACCCCGAATTGCTAGAGCGCCCTCTCACCAAGGTCATGACTGCGGCAACGTTGTCGAGGAACCAGAGACCATGTCGATGTCGAAAAAGGTCGGGGCGCTCGATCAAGGCGCACAACACCATAGAGAGCTCCAGTTGCGTGCCTTGATGGCCATGAGACCGCCATACCCGACTCGCCCAGAAATACCTTGCTCCAAGAAGATTGCAAGTCTATAAAGTTTGGAAGCTGTGCCTCGAGTAAAGTGGCCTGCTTGACGTGCTGTGGCAAGACATCACGAACTTTGCCATGGAGTCTGGTGCGGGCCCAAAAACGAAGATGACCTGTCTTATTGATGCAACTCAGGTCATGGGTAGGTCCCAAAGAAGCGCCAGTGCTCTGCATGGTCTGCGTTTTGTCTTCCGCAAATAAAGATCCGATCATCAGGCATAGTTGTTTCATCGCCCATTGCCCGGAGCCCTTGGCAGAGCGGACATCAGTGATCGCGGCATTGAAGTACAGGGATGTCAAAACTTGGCAATACCAGCGAGTCAGCGCTTCCAACAGTCTGGGAAAATCAGTTGAACGAAGTGATTGCCAGGGGGAGCCTAAACAAGAGGCCTGCATAGACCTGGGATACCGGAGTTTGCCACTCATCAGTGAAACCAGACGACAACGCAGCCTAAGCTCTCCTGCTGACATGGGGCAGTACCTGTAGGCAGACGGCAGGTCCTCTTAGCCTGTCTCCCAGGCATCATGGTGACAAAACTCGGCGACCTCGTCCTCAGACCAACGACGCATAACCAGGCTTATGGGCGACTACATAGTGTAAGCATGTTGGCATCGGAAGAAAGGTCTGATTGCCCTCCGGTGTCACCGTTGTCGATGACTCGTTGTTTCCCCGAACTTTGGGTGGTCACACAGCGCAGGATAAGACGATGTGCCCGGCCGCCAATGTCCCTGAGGAACTCTGCTCGCCGCAGAGGAGGTGTACAAAAACCGTTTCTGGCGTCTTCCAAGGACTGCTGCAGCAAGAATGCATCGCTTCGCCACGTGCTGCTTGAACTCCAGGAACACAGCAGCATGGAGGAGCGACGCCTCGGTGGCCGCCGGGATATCGCTCCCACGAAGCTTACGCTGCATGCACGGTCTCCCCTTGCAACTACCAGGTCACCCCTTACGATGCTTGTAACCAACCAGGTCACCCCTGGTTATTGATGTGGTGAGCCGCTCAATCAAGGTCTAGGAAGGTCACCCCTTACCAGGGCCAGGAAAGAAACAGCAATGAATGCTATTTTGGCTCAGCTCCACTTGAGCCAAAATGAAAGCATTCATTGACTCACTTAAAGATGACACATGCACACCCAAGCCTGCCAAACTCAATGCATGAATATATATTTATTATATATCTCTCATCTGTACTTGGTGGACCACTCCACTTACCACTTAGGGTTAGTGGGCTTTGCCTAAACTCAATGGGCTCCACGGATCGAAAATTTCTCTTCGTTTCTTCCGTATGTGAACCCCCCATTCTTCAGCCCGTTAAGCCCCCAAACAAAACATATGTTTCATAGATAGACATAGAAAAACCAGCATTTTTCATGAATAGACATAGATAAACCATCATTTTTCATGGATAAACCATAGATAAACCATCATTTTCATGGATAAACATAGATAAACCATGATAAACCATCATTTTTCATGGATAGACATAGATAAACCATCATTTTTCATGGATAAACCATAGATAAACCATCATTTTCATGGATAAACATAGATAAACCATGATAAACCATCATTTTTCATGGATAGACATAGATAAACCATCATTTTTCATGGATAAACCATAGATAAACCATCATTTTCATGGATAAACATAGATAAACCATCATTTTTCATGGATAAACATAGATAAACCATCATTTTCATGGATAAACCATAGATAAACCATCATTTTTCATGGATCAACTATAGATAAACCATCATTTTTCATGGATAAACTATAGATAAACCAGCATTTTGGGATCTTTAAAAAAACACAACGATTTGTTGCTCCAGATCTGGTAGGGATCCCCTCTTGGGCACTTCGCAAGCAGCACGACCAGCACCAACTCAGCGCCGGGCCGATTTTTTTTGACCCTAGAAATGGGAAATAGGACATATGTGAACATATGATACCATGCCAAATATCAAATTATATATATATATATATCATTGTATACCAGCAATAAACCATATACCATTATATATATATATATTATACATATTATGTAATTTGGATTTTAGGACATTCTCACAGATTCGATCATTTCCCCGTTCAAATTGCTATGCACTGGGGGTATAAAGACCCATTTTCTTTGAACCGGAATTCTTTGACTCCTACGGCGCAGAGTTCCATTCCAAATGGAAGATCAGATCTATGTTAAGCTCAACAGTATGGCCACATGGATTTCCACATGACCTTCAAAAAAAACCTGATGGATCTCCCCACCTTGCGTCAAGGAGGTGGAAATTTATGCCACCCCCTCAAAGGTACCGCAATGAAGGTTGGTTCATGGTGAACCACCAATGCTCACTAAGGGCTTATGACTGTAATCCATCTATTAGTGAATCCCCTATAATTACTAACCCTTATAAGTGATAATTGCTGGGGATTAACCCCTTATTAGGTATGATTGGTGATTAGTAACCACTATTCTTGGGGTTGAGTCTCCATGACAAAAACCCGCCGGCCCCATTGGGAGCCACCCTGCAAATCGATCCAAGCAACGTAGGTGCTGAGTCCGCTCACAAGTTTCACACCCCACTCAAGACGCCTTGGAAACCAAGGTGCGGGTGAAACATGAACTATCAATGAGGTACCATAACCATCAATACAACAGTAATAACAAGTGAAAAACTAGATTCATGATCCAAACATGATCATCAGGGTAATCAGGGTAACAGCATGAGTAATATACAGCACATACATATAATATATATATATGTATATATATATACATGAAATTACATGAATAAAACTGGAAAAACACGGTGCTTTATTATGCCCATCTCGACTGAGGGTGCCTAGAAAGTAGCAGATCCCCAAAAGGCCACCTCAACTCAGACTCTGGGCCGAACATACTGTGGATGGGCCAGCAATCCTGCACATTCCTGCACCAGTTGATGGTAAACATCCCCATGATTTTTGGGCTTTCAACCATCCAAAATTGGTGGTGAATAAGTGGGATAAACCCTATAAATATCTATAAATAGTGGGATGTTTACCATCCAAAATTGGTGATGTATCTCGCTGGCCCATCCACAGTATGTCAGAATGTCTGAACAACGACCACGTCGCGCCCTCGCTACGCCCTCGCTACGCCCTCGCCACACATCCGGGGTCGTCACTTGGTCTGCACGCAGTACATAGGCAGCTCCAGCCAAACACCCCAGACGAAGCGCAGCCAGTACCTGCAAATAGACCCGATTTTCTCGGCGTTTCATGAGATTTTCATGGAATTTTCGCGGGATTTTACTGAGACTTTAATGGGAACGTATGGGGAGATCATTATGAAACATGTCGTTTTCAATAAACATCAATAAACCCGTAAGATTTGTCATGTTTAGTCCCGAATGTAGAAACTGTACCTATAGTGAATAGGGTACCCTCAAAATCAAATGATCTTCAACTCATGTTCCGAATTCCGAGTACAATGGTCATACATTGGTGTATTCAAACAATTTCCTGGCAAAACCAACCCATGTTTGAAGGGACTCGGCCCCAGTTCTAGGTGATGCATCCCCATCGATATCTGCTTCAGTAACACAGAAATGGGGGATAAATAGATAAATAGTCTATCACCCTATATCAGAGGTGATACTGTTCTGTTTTACCCTCTGGTTATGTCAAAATAGCTACTGGTAAATAGCCCATAGAAATAGTTGATTTACCTATTCAAAATAGAAATTTAAAATGGTGAATCTTTCCATAGTTATGTAAAAGTTTACCAGAGGGTACTGTTCAAAAAAGATCAGACTAGTGATGAGTCGCAGCCCACAAAAAATGAAGTCGCATCGGCGACTTGACTCTGACTCGGGCCCATTCCGATTGGAAAAAGATCCCACGAACCATCTTCCCTCGTCAACTCATGGATTGGGAAGATGGGATGGGATCATGACAATTTTAGTGTCTTGAAGTGCCATAAATAAAGGGATCATAATCCCTTCTGGTTGGTGGTTGAGCCAACCCCTCTGAAAAATATGAGTTCGTCAATTGGGATGATGACATTCCCAATATGATGGAAAAATAATCCACATGTTCCAAACCACCAATCAGAAATTAAGATCTATGGTACCAGATATTATAACCAATCTATGGTACCGTTAATATGATTCCCAATTATATGGAAATATATTCCCAATATTTAATGGGAAAACTCACTATTTCAATGGCCATGTTCAATACGGAGTTGGGCACCATTCTGAAAGTAGACCATTCTTTCGACCCGTCTCCGCCGTTGCCGCCTGAAGAAGTGTGCCCAAGAATCGCGTTGGAACTTCTCGGTGGAGGATGCGTCTAACTCCTCAGCTGGTAACTTTAACCGAACAACGCTGGAAATTCTGCGGTTGTTGTGGGTCCCCGGGTCCGCAAAATTGAGGTGAAATGGCCTGGGAAAAAAAATATATATACAGTATATAAGGCTATAATTATATAAGGCTATAACTAACTATAAACATCTATAAACTATAGATCAATTCGATGATCGCCAAGTTTCCTTGCGACTTTCAAATGGCCTCTCAGGTCCCTGTTTTTGTACTCATAAACATAGGGCTAGTTTTCATAACCAATCATGAGAAATATGATATAAATCATTAATGGTTTGTAATCTGAGATTCTGAGATACCATATATATATATATATATATATATATATAGAGAGAGAGAGAGATATCCTGCAAGACAGGTTGAAGCTAAGCTTGGCATCTACGCTCTGTACATGTATTTACTATATCATATCTCCCTGCTCAAAATGAAGCAGGAAACATCGTGGTTAACCCACCACATCGGCAACAAGTGTTCGGGGCTTCAGGGCCATTATGCCATTTTTCCTTCCCTATCTCTCAAAAATATCAGCCCCAAAAGAACCAGAAAGAACACCTTTGGAGGTTTCAGGAGGTGCCATCATCGCCTCTTGCAAACATTACTGTAGTCTTACGGCCACATCATCATTTTTTGGGTTACGGCCACAAAGAACAACAAGAGAGGTACAAGTGGCGAGGGAGGTGATTTTCCAACACACACCCAAGTTGATTGTTGCTGAATCGCTTGTTCCACTACTTTACTGAACATTGTCAACATCTATAGTCCGAAGGGTATCCACACAGCCATAAACATCCATACATTTTGTCATAAATATATGTTAATATACCAAGAAAATATCCATATTAATTATTTGTTATCTCATTAACATCCATTAACATCCATTAACATCCATTAACATCCATTAACATCCATTGACACCCATTAACACCCATTGACATCCATTCACATCCATTTTTTAAACATCAAAACATCATTAAAAAATCATCAACCTCCCCATGTTCTCTCCAAAAACAATGCCACTGCCAGGGCACGTGGTTGTTCTCAATGTGGTGCATGATCACCTGGCGGAAACCATAAGTTGAAACAGCTATTCTCTGTGGCTTGCAATGGTAGATGTTCAAAGGGAAAACAAAATTCCCAAAATTTTGTTGAAATCAAACAAATGTAATCAACATATCATTAACATATCCATGTGATATCTATGTTCAATGGTTGAAATCAAAATTCCATAGATATCACATGATATCACTCGATATCACAGTTCCTTGAAAGGAAAAAAACACATCGGGGACTCATCTACTGGTGTATCCATATTCAAGCTTGGCATCTGGGCGGACACACAGAATCCCTCTTCCGGCTGGTTCCTTATATAGTGAATGGAATTGGGAATTCATACCTCAATATACCTCAATGGGAAATTCAGGATCCTAAAATGGAGGTACGTTAGTACCATATAAGGCTATATTAATTTTGTAGGGATATTCCCTTAATTACATAGGCCTGTTGTGGTTTCAACATGAAAAACTACCCAGCCCAGGTCGACCCTCAATGGAATAATTCAATTGGCTTCTCAGATTTTCCCAGCATCAATTCTAAGAACTGGCATTTCTTCACAAAAAGAGATTTCTGGTACCTTAACTTTCCCGTTGCTGATGAAAAAAATCCCCAAGTTGGGCCCCAGACGTGATGCAATTTGTAGACACCCGTGGGCACCCCGAAGAAGGGCGCATAGAGCCAAACCTCATGGGCCCCGGGAGCCCCAGGAGAGTCACAAAATTAATCATACTGATTTAGTCATCAACCATATATCTGGTTGGTGGTTGAGCCTACCCCTCGGAAAAATATTATATAGTCAGTTGGGATTATTCTTCCCAACTGAATGGAAAAATAAGAGCCATGTTCCAAACCACCAACCATATATATATATAGCATTTATATAATCACATGTTCTAACAACATGTATGTAACATTACGTAACGTAGGTCAGTGCTGCCGGCTGCGGGTTTGTTAGTTACCAAGCCAGATAAACAAGATATGGAAAATCCACCATCTGCGGATCATGTTCGGAACCGGAAACCGTTTGTTTTCCATATGTATAGGTATGTATATATATATATGATATGTATATATTTATTTCATATACCATATCTATATACCATATGTACATATCATGTTCTTTCCATATCTATCTATCTTAGATTGCTGCAGGGTTTCTTGAATTTCTACCAACAAGTTGATAGCATTGGTCGGGATGATCTCGCTTAAAACACCGCAAAACACCGAGCAACTTGCAATTCATTCAGCGCATCGTGGTGGAAAATGGTGCGATGAGAAGAGAAGTGCATCATCCTTAGAGGCGGTGGTTTTTTCGCCATCCCAATGGGTGGTTTTTCGCCATCCCAATGGTCCTGTTGGACTGGTTGAAGTGCCATCTTTGATCACCGGGAACACAGCACCAGCCATGTTTGATGACGCCAAGTAGGGGTAGTAATATTCCGTTGATATGAACCATCATGTTCCCTACATTAAATGAACAATAGAGCAGTAGAATGGTGGTTTTTCATAGCCATGTTAAATTACCAGAGGGTAAAATTTTGGGTTTTTCTCTGGTTATTTAAGATAGCTATGGAAGCCATGGCCCATAGAAATAGACGATAAACATGATGATTTACCTATTAAACATTGTGATTCTCCATGGCACCAGCTGAGGTCCCTACAACATGAAGCGTTCCTTGGCGTTTCAAACATGGCGAGCCAGCCGGAGGCGTGCTTCACAATGTGGGGAACGAAACAACCACAACAACCAGGGGTGCGGTTCACTACTTGGAATATATAGAGATTTTTAGCGGCCTTTTAATTATATATGGTAGTGTGTCAAAACCTTGTACCCCTGTAGTTCACATCAAAATAGCTGGTAAATGGATGTTCATCACCCTAAAAATGGTACTTATAGGTATTGACCCATACCCATATCAAACAACAAGAAACAATGCAATTAAAAACTGGTGGTTTGCGAGGATCACAATGGGATGTTACCATAAAGAATTGATCAAACCATGGGATACCTAGGAATTTCATTTTGAAAAATAGGGATTTGACTATAGGATTTTTCATAAATCATATCTATTCATAAATCACCACAACAGATCCCATCAACCGGGATTGGACCATCATACTGCACCATGATTCGGAGATACAGCTAGATTTCCCCTCAGCCATTGCTTCTGGTTGGTGGTTTTCACATGTTTTAACCATCTTGAAAAATATGAAAGTCAGTTGGGAAAGATTATCAAAATATATTATGGAAAAATTAAAGCCATGTTCCAAACCACCAACCAGAGTATATTCTAAATTTAATCAATAACCAAAAAGATGACTGCAATATCTCAAGTGATGTCAGTGATGTCTTCCAGGAAAAAAGTTGTGTCAGGGGGTGACTGATCACCCTAACAGCGTACGCGTTCAGTCTAGGCCCTAGGCCACAAATTCAGGTAATATTCCCCCAAAATATGGCCTGAAACATGGAACCATACCCAAACATGCTAGTGAACCAAAATGGGAACATGAAAGTAAACTGCCACACTGGGGATTACTGGGTTTTGAACCAAAGTCGGTTTTCAAATAATCCAATCGCAATTTCGTTGCATCAAAGTCTGAAGCTCACGGCCATCATGGCCATCATCATCTAGGCAGAATGGGCTATTGATGGGTTTTTATCCATGCTTCCAAACCAATTCTGTATGGTAAATCCCATCAAATCATCCCATTAAACCACCATTGTTCATTTTTCAAGCTAAACATCCTGTGGTTGAAGATTTTTTCCATATAGTCCATCCCATATAGTTACATAATCATCATTTTCGCCATGAACGAACTAAACCCCATGAATACTATATAGCTATATCTACCATTAACATCCATTAACCATAGTTCATTCAGCCACTTTTAGGCAACTGAACACGGCAACCAACGGGGGCCGAGTTGCCAAGAACAACACCAGCATCATCACCACGTGTGTCACACCACAGAGATGCCTAACCAACGACGATGGATCCCGTCACTAGGCGAATTTCATGGTGGATTCTGCACTGACAAATAGGGGATTGAATAGTGATTTTATGGGATTGATGTGGGAATTTAAGCGACAAAAATTGCTTATGATGATTCATAGGGAGCTTCAACCCTATCACATTTGGGGATTTAATGGGATTGTATGATGATTAAAAGGGATGAGCCACCAACAAACATGGGGACACTAATGGGGGTTGCGCACCTTGATATCATCCGAGCTGGTTTCAAGGAAACATCCCATTTTTCTGTGCCCAATAGAAATTCCAGTTGAGCAGTGTGAAATAAATCCCTCTATTATTCCATTTAATCCTGGTTGGTTAATAGGGATTCCCCTATTTATTTGATTTTTATAATCCCCAATATGGTGGTATAATCCCCTATATATAATCATCAATCAACAGAGGTTTTGAACACTGCTCAGTTGAACATCATCAAATACAAGAATCAAGAAGTTGATCAAGAGCTTTATCCAGGTTATAATTCCCATAATACTATAACTATAGCTATAACCAAAACTAGAAACTACAACTTCAACTATAACTATACTATACGCATGTATTCATATTATTGCTTGTAATACCTCATAGAAAATATCCGTTAAGGGGCCATTGGAATATTAATATTGTATATCCATGGAAATGTCCAAGACTATTATAAATGATTATCCATAGTACTGCTTATTTCCAAATTATCAACATCATTGGATATATGTCCATATATCGTATAGTACTATCATACTCATTCATCTCCATATCATTGTCTGGTTGGTGGTTTCAAACCCTCTGAAAAATATTTGTCAGTTGGGGTTATTATTCCCAATATATGGAAAAATAAATATTATGTTCCAAACCACCAACCAGCCATTCATATTCCATTACCAGAGGGCTAATCATCATTAAATCACCATTAATATCCCCAACTATTGGGGAAAAAAAAAAGTTCCAAACCACCAACCAGATTGTCTATGTTTCCCACTGCCTATGACATATTCTTAGGAGACACCCTGCCGCGACGTTTGACACGTCCATGGCCTCACCCATGCCGGAAAGGCTGCAAAATTCACCTGGCGAATTTTGCGTCGTGAAAAACGTTTTTCGAGACCGGCGATCAGACGACCGGATGCGAACAGGTGAGACATGGAGAAGTACCAGGAAAACAATGTGGTGAAATCTTCATAACCCATAGGATCCATGTATGCTATATATATGGTAACATTTACCATCAATATACCCCCAATGTTAGCATATATACCATACATGGATCCTATGGGTAATGGAAGATGTTTTTCTTTACAAGTTTGGTCATCGTGAATTTTGTTCAGCCAATTTTGGAGAATTGGTAAAATTGCCATAGTTTTTCAACACATTTCTGAAGGCAATTTCAGTACGTGTTCACAATTCCGAGGAACAAATAAGGACATGAACACACACATTATGATGGACAATCTTAGATATCCTGCAAACAAACATGTCGTTAGCCGGTTAGCATATATCATATATAGGATAATGGTGTATATAATATGTATATACATATATATATATACATAGTAATATATATATATATATATACATGATTATATATATACACGTGTATATATGTATACATATATATATATATATATATATATTACGTGTAATATATATATAACCATATATATATATAATCGTATATATATATAATCGTGTAATCGTATATACATATAATCATATATATATATATATATTTATATGTCATTTAAGTACCCATCCAAGATTGGCCAAGTTAGCCGTAGCAATTCCCGGTCAAGAAAACCAGCAATCAGCTACTCGCCGGCGAGACTGCATAGTTGAGGGTCACTGACGGAATGACAAATTCAGCAATGTTGAGCCTCGATTTCATCCAGCTCGAAACGACAGCTATCATAAAAAAAAACAAAAACAATCAGCGATTTCCCTTGTCGTGCCTGAATTGGATTCGAAAAACTCTTCAGAACTCATGGCGAAGTTGGAGAAATCACAAACTGAAGGGCATAAAATTGCCAACAACTATATGATTTGGTTTTTGTTGGGGTGCTAAACCCAAAATGAAATAGAAGTTGGCGTGTAGGGGGAATATATTCTATCTTAGTGTCTTGGAGTATAATTTCAAGTGTTTGCAAGACTTTCGAGGTACGTGGATGAGTGGAGTTGTAGCCCCAAAGTTTCGATGTTCGGAGATTCTCCAGCCATGTTTCATGACACTGGAGAGTTAACATGCCATATCCATATCCAAAAAACTCCATCTATTCCCTTAATGTCCCACAGAATCCAATTACCATCTGGTTATTTAACATAGCCATGGAAAATCCCTTATAAATGGAGGTTTTAATGGGAAAATCATCTATACATGGGCCATTTTCAATAGCTATGTTAAATAACTAGAGGGTAATACCCCACTCGATCCCATTAGTACACTATTAAATCCACCATTTACCCTCTGGTTATGACTAACAGTTCGCCATGGTATACATGGCCCATAGATTTATAGATGGTTTACCTGGGTTTACCGTTCTTAAAAATGGTGATTTTCCATGGCACCATTAACATAGCTATTGAACATGGCCCATTTATAGATGTTTTTTCCCATTAAAAATGGTGATTTTCCATAGTTATGTTAGTTTACCAGAGGGTACTTTAGTTTATTAAAAATGGTCCATTTATAAGGGATCTTTCCATGGCAAACTGTGAATGTCATAACCAGATGGTTAGTGGGACAACAAATGTCTATTTTATCTGAGGATCCGACATCAAATGTAGCATGGGTTCATCACGCTTATCCTCGCGGGCTGACCCGAAGCGAGGCGGCCCTGATGCCTGTGGTTTTAATCACATGGAATATATACTGTTAATAATGGTTAATATGTGGTTATTATATGGTTATTATATAGTTAATGATGGTTAATAATAATCTGGTTGGTGGTTTTAACCATCTTGAAAAATATGAGTTCGTCAATGGGAAGGATGACATCCCATATATGAAATGTAAAATAAAAAATGTTTGAAACCACCAAGCAGCATTTAATCCGCTATGGCGAAACACCAAGTGCCAATTTACCGTTCAGCTAGTTTGATGATGACAATGTGGAGTCCACAAGACAATTTTTGGGTGGCTGACAACTCCAATGTTGGACTTGTGGTGGAGATCAGTCTACAGTCCTGAGCATAAATCAAACTATAACTGGGGGTCACTGTAGCCAGGGATCACCGGATCACCATTCCATAGACCTTGCGTTTCAGTGGATTTGGGTGGCCAAACGGTTGGAGATCACATCACATGCGGTCCTTCAGAAGGGGCAAAAGCATATCTGACAGGATGGGCGTGCGGAAAAGGTACCTGGTTCACGATCAGACACGGAAAGCCAGGCAGGCTGCAATCTGATTCGAAATGCGCTCCCCACATTTGAGCAGTGTGAAATAAATCCCTCTATCATTCCATTTAATCCTGCAGGTTTTCATAGGGATTCCCCGTTCTTGGATTATGATAATTCCCAATATGTTGGGTAGTATAATCCCCGAACCAATCATCAACCAACCATCATTTATCAATTATATATAGTTATATCCACTTATTTCCCTACATTTTGATGGTTAAAACCATATGAAATGACTATCATCCACCAACAGAGGTTTAGCAGCCACTGCTCAGATGACATCTGTCCATTCGCAAGTCGGATTTGTCGAGTCGATTTAAGCTGTGTATGGTTCGACTTAGACATGCAGCGTTTTATATATATATGGGATACATATAGTACAAATATGCGGATACCACTACAAAAAAATGAGATAACTGGACAATCCCCATAAAAATCCCATATATATATATGGTACATATTTGTGTACTCAGAATTCTTGCTACCACATGCGGGTACAATTACAAACCTCATTGCAGTCCATCTAAATCACATTAGTTTGATATGTTGTCATTCTTCTTGGCTCAAAGTGCATTTGGCTGCTCAAAACCTTATCTCTGGTTGTTGTTGTTGCTGCCGTTGTTGCTGTTGTTGCCTCATATATCAATATACCTGACTTATATGATATGCCCTTAAAAAAATGCCAAAACATCACAGGATGATATACCTTATATGAATTTGTCTGAATATAGGGTATCCCATTTTGCTGATGGTTAAGAACCTCATGTTCCCAAAAAAAACTGCCATGTTGAGGTATATCTCATTTTCAGACAAACCCACATCATAATTGCTATAGTTGCTTAAGTTATATATATATAGAATATGATATGTAATATATACCCTATCATTTTACCTGCTAACCAGTACTAACCACTACTAACCATTACTAACATTATTTACCACTAACCAACCATTACTAACCACCCATTAGATCGCCCCCCGACGGCGCACTCGTTGCGAACCTCGTTGAGGTCGCTCCGTTCCGCCGGCTTCAACTGCGGTGCCAGGCAGTAGATGAACTTCGATGATGATCTATAGCTTTTAACAGCATCTTACATAAGTATAATGATTATGTATTATATATATATATATCCCCATGATTATACATAGTATAATGATGAACTTCGATGATTTTGATGATCTTATGATGATTATGGATTATATATATATATATATATATGTATGTATCGGGTATATCCCCAAATGGCCACTTTCATAGGCAAAAATGATCATAACATATCATCTTACTGGTGCGTTTTACGCAGGGAATGTTCGAGAATGATCCATTTCATCACTAGTAATAATCATCCCAGCAACCCCCAGTCCTATCCATTCCCTACGTTTAGCACCAGTAAGATAAGTAAATGATGAAACAAATGAAAAACAAATATTTTACCTATTTGTTTACCATGTTTCATATAAATGATAAACATGATGATTTACCTGTTGTTTTAAGAATGGTGCTTTTTCCAGTTTCGGAAACCGTTGAATGCCCAGAGGGTAAATTAGATCATCTGCATAAAATGAAATAACAAGGGAGAAACAGTGATCAAAATGAGCAAAACATGACCATGATTTTACACCCAGAAATCAAGGATGATGTAGCCATAATTTACTCCATCTACCCTCTGGTAAACTAACATAACTATGGAAAATCAACATTTTTAATGGGTAAATCCATGTAAATCCACTATTTCAATGGCCATTTTCAATAGCTATGTTAGTCATTACCAGAGGGTAAAGTGTAAAGCTACACCATCAGCCAAGCCAAGTGCCTGGTTCCTGCTTTTGGATACCCAATAAACTGGATATTTTCTGGATATCATGCGACCCAAAAAAGACCATGTACGGATAAAACTATACAAATTATGTATATATGAACTATGTATGTAATATACCAATGGTTTGCATATCCTGCGCAAGTGGGGCCACTATTCCGAAAAGTCAACCCACTCAGCATCTATCTTCACTTGTTTCCTAGTTCACAGCCACACATCACTATAATTATTCAACCCACAGTCGTAGATATCGTAGATTGAAAAGATCGAAATCCGGAAAAAAATGAGGAAAAGCATGATCAAAGTACAACTTTCCACATTTTTCATAATATTTTCCACATTTTCCAAGGATTTCCACATTTTTCATCATCTTTTCCACAGTTTTGTTCCATCGAAAGGGCCATCGTTTGGCGAAAGGGAGACAGCAGAAGCACCTTCTGCAGCATTTGAACGCCCACCTCCTGAAGGCGCCGCAAGATACCGCAGTTTCAACTTACAATCTATATGTAGATATGATTCTAATGGTTAACCAAGGGTTAATAGATAATGATAATGGTTAATAATGGTTAATAATAGTTAATCATTGTTAATCATGGTTAATAATGGTTGATAATGGTTAATAATGGTTAATAATAGTTAATAATGGTTAATAATAGTTAATAATGGTTAATAATGGTTAATAATGGTTAATAATGGTTAACCAAGGGTTAATAGATAATGATAATGGTTAATAATGGTTAATAATGGTTAATAATGGTTAATAATGGTTAATAATGGTTAATAATTGTTAATAATGGTTAATAATGGTTAATAATGGTTAATAATGATTAATAATTAATAATGGTTAAACATGATATATATATATATAATGATATTTACACTATGATACACGATGTGTATCCATGTGTATATACAATATTATACAATATGGATCTGCAAGGCAGGAAAATGTCTGATTCTTAGAGGGACACAACCACCACATTCCAACGAATTTCACACGCCAACATCTAGTGGTCCAACATCTCTTTATTCTACCTTCATCTGGGCTCTTAATGGCTAATAATGGCTAATCATAGTTAAAAATGGTTAATAATGGTTAATAATGGTTAATAATGGCTAATAATGATTAATAATGGTTAACAATGGTTAATCATGATTTGTTTTTCCCAATTGAAATAGGTTTAATTGGGATGATCCCCGAATGTTCTGCAAACGCCTTCATTTTTACTGACGGCAAAATTGGTTTTGTCTGAGAGGGTAACTCCACATCCCATGGTTCCTGATTTACCCTCTGGCAAACGTTTACAGTTTGCTATAGAAAATCACCATTTTGAATGGGTCAATCAATTATTTCCATGGGCTATTTTCAATAGCAAAGTGTGACAAATTACCAGTGATTTATCATCATATTGTTCATCATTCAATGGTCCGGACAAACTCAGAATTGAGATCACCCAATTTTGGCTGGGAATGTCCGCCGTATGTTTCTTCATTTTTCTCATTGAAGTAGCTAGTTAAACTGGTTGGTGGTTTCAATCCCTCTGAAAAATATTAGTCAATTGGAAGGATTATCGCATATACTATGGAAAATTAGAAATGTTTGAAACCGCCAACCAGTAAATCATGTGAAATCCCCGTGATTCATGATCTTAGACCATGTAAAACCAACACGTTTCACCATTTTGGTTATTTTTATGAGTTTTTATTGCTCCTCATAGCGGTCCCCAGTGGCCCGCTCCTCCGTCTTGCACATCTTTCGATGCGGAGGACAACTTCGGCCCGCTTCGGCGGCCGCCTGCGTGAATCAGTTGGTCTGAACATGGTGGATTTAACCTCCAAATAGCCATTTGTGAGTTGGGGGGTACCCAACTATTGTGAATTGGGAACATGAATAATTAATAATAATTATCTATTGTGAATTACCCAATTTAATCTCCTGGGAACATGACTATGAATAATTATCTATTGTGAAGTGTGGGGCACCCTATGTTCGAACAAACTCATGATATTAAGAAATGTAAATAATAGCAGTTTACATCATATAGATACTAATGTATACTAATGTAACTAAGTAAGGTTCATACCCCCCCAAAAAAAAACAGTTTGATTGAGATAATCATTGTTTAGTAGCTGTTTATCAAACTGAGACTTCATAATCAATTGAAACAGCAATTCTCATGGGATAAGCAACTAGGATCAACTAACTCATATAAATGAAACCACATCATATATTCTGGGTACATTAACATATTTCACTAACCCAAAGTAAGGCCATAATCTTGGGATGATTCCCCTTACTAACCTCCAGTTGAGGTCACAGTGGGCAGGGTTTTACCCATAGGGTATCTTGAAATGGGGGCTAGCTCCGATCCAGTGCTAAGTGAAACATGGTAAACCATGTGATTTTTTATGGGAAATCACAATGTTTAATGGGTAAATCAACTATTTCTATGGATTAATAATGGCTAATACTGGCTAATAATGATTAGTAATGGTTAACAATGGTTAATATGTGGTATACCTAATATTATCTGGTTGGTGGTATAGCTCCCCCTCTCAAAAATGATGCACTGAAAGTCAGTTGGGATGATGAAATTTTCAACTGAATGAAAAAATAAAAGCCATGTTCCAAACCACCAATCAGTGATGGTAAACCATGTGATTTTTGGCGTTTTGTGATGCTATTTTCAGACAAGCCATGTTCTTGCCATTGATATCCATTCACATCCTGGCCCTTGTGCTTAGGACTGCAGTTGAGCTTACAAATGGAAAAAACCCTGGTTCCAAACCCCTACAAATTGGGACATAAACCCTATGCCTATGACTATAGTTGGTGTATTTTGAGGTGTTTTCTCAGAGGGATTCTCGACATTGAAGTTAACCAGAAGGGTTGCAACCCGACTAACCAATGGATGTCCACTCAACTGGCTAAGGAAGTGCGAACAAGTAGTGTGCCTTTCGTAGTTGGTACAAGCCTGGTTATAAAACCCCCAAAAGTTGGGATATCACCCCTATATACCACATTTTTAACTATATATTCCCTTAGTTCAACAGAACTGCACGTCTATAACAGCTACTGTACACTACGCGCGCGCTTCACGCAAGCTTCGCTTCCTCTCGGCCCGCCCGTTTATGGCACCTGCGCTGACTGGGAAAGTCGTGGTATTTGGTTTTCTGTCTTGAGCCAGGCAGCCATGGTCATCCCAAGGATCATCCGCGATGGTCCATCTTGGGGAAAACCCCCCATAAAGTGATTAATGATAAAAGTTTTGGGGACTCCATAAACAAATGTCCGAAACGGGGACTGGGATACAATGGGATGATTTTTTTGATACAAATGTCAGAAAAAAATCATCACATGGGATGGTTCTTTGATACACATGTTACTGGGATACTAAACACATGTGTTTTGATACAAAATCATATTTTTCAGAAACTGGTGCATCCAGGCATCGCAACTGGGACTTTTTTGCAGTCAAGGCTTACAGGCTTCAGGTGAAGGCTGCGATGCTTCAATCTTTGCCCCAAAGTTATGTTTGTTGGTTTTGTTTCTCCCATCTGTAGATATGTCCAGAATGACTAGAAGTAGTCATGCCGCAAGGGTACAAATCAGCTTGCCATTCTCTTTGCGGCTTCCTGTATGTGGGCCATAAATACATGTTTACACATCTATTTTCAGTGTGTAGGGGGAATACTCCTAAAGTCGGAAGATCTTAATATGTTTCGTTTCACACTTAAGATTTACCAGTCATGGGGGTAGCCCTAAATCATCCATTTATAGATGGATTTTCCAGGTATAAACCATCCATTTGGGGATACCCTCTAGAGTAATGACTAACAGTTTGCTAACTATATTTTTCGTTTCACACTTGTTAGATCTTCTAAAAATGGGTGGATTTACCAGATCTATATTAATACCCTCTAGAGTAATGACTAACAGTTTGCTCACTGGAAAAATCCACCCATTTGTCCATGGGGAAAATATCCACTACGATCATCCCATATCCCCATCGCAGATTTCCACGATTTCTTGGTGTGGAAAAATCTCCTAAGAATCTGGTAAAATAAGAGATAAATCACCATAGTTTATAGATAAATCACCATTATGTATCACCATTTACATAGATAATATGGTGTTATAATATGGTGTTATTCCTCAAATCACCAATTTATGGATGTAAATGGATGGTTTATGGTAGGTTTATGGCATTGAGTTTCCCACAAGGTGTCGACAGGGGATTCGAATCACGTCCTTTTGCGTTTCGCGGTCGAGCAAAAGTGTGCTCCTGTACATCGAAAATCACGCCGAGGCTTCATGGGTAGCGGTGGCAACAAATCTCAAGTGGATGTATAGATATATATATATATATATATATATATGTATGTATGTATATGTATATTATATATTATATATTATATATTAGATATATATTGTACATGGTCTGGTGAGCAATCCATTTCTGGTGGTGGTTGAGGCACCCATCCCCAGATATGCTGCTAGGATAGACACTTTCCAGCTTTGAAACCAACGTGACGTGGCTTTTGAAGACCTTCTCGAGATACCCTCTGGTAAACGTTTACATAACTATGGAAAATCACCATGTTTAATGGGTAAATCAACTATTTCAATGGCAATTTTCCATAGCTATGTTAGTTTAGAGGGTATCTAAAGCTTTCGACCTGGACCACAAGTTGCGGATGTCATGACCTGCGGGTCGACCAACGACCACCCACTTAAGTGCTGGCACAAGGTGAAAATCCTGAAAATATCTGAAAATTGACACTCCTGAAATTCCGTCTCAAGCAGCTCGGTTCGGAACCAAAGTTTGATGTTTCCAACTTGAAACCAACCATGGAGGAAAAAGAAACCGTTGGGGAGAAACACAACTGAAAGTCACATATTCAAATGTCGGTGTGAAACTTTGGACCTGTTGGGCACAGACTCTAAGAAAGTAATGATGCATATTATGTACATATATATATATAGAGAGAGATTGCAAAAACGAATGGTTCCGTATTTGGGTGTTGGCTTGCTATTTCTCAAACTTCCAGCTGCAGAATTTCAGAAGTGCGCGCCAGCCTTCATGCTTGAAGGTTTATTGAAGGTTTATTCACTTGCGAGCGGACATAAAGTTTGAAAAGAAATACATATAATTACTATATATATATATGTTATCATCGTCAAATTGGCTCGATAGTTAGGAGTCTCCTTACCACCATATGGTTTGTCACTTGGGGCTTGTCGGAAAATGTCAGGAACAACTTTACAAACTGCATCTCTAGCAATATGATACAATATGAGCAAACAACATAGCCAGAAACAGCCAGCCACAAGTATACTATGTTGTTCTGTCTTTGCTCGCAGAACGTGTTTTTTTGACCACTTCTTTGGTGATGAGACGCAAATTACAGCAGATTCCCAAAGATCTACAATCTGAACGAGGCGCTTATTTATGCAGTTACTTCAGCAGTTACCTCAGCGGATACCTCAGCGTAAATGGCTGAACCGGCTGAACATTTGGATGAGAAGTTTCCATATTTGGATTGCACTGAAAGTTGGCTCCCAAAACCTTAGTGGTGTCTATCATAGAACCCACCGGCAAACGAAACAAGTGAGTTGAGTTGCGAAACCATGGAAGCTCTCAAGGAGTCATACAAAACGGTGCCTCGAATTATAAATTGGTTAATAAACCATAATAAACCCATCTAATGATAGCTACAAACACCACATCCAAATGCTGCATTGGTTACAGGCCACAAAAAAACCATGACGTCATGGTCTCACTAGTCCCAACTCATGACTTTTGAGGCATCAACCAACTGTTGGTTGATGGCTCGGTTTCCCTATAGATTGATTGTTAATAATGGTTAATAATGGCTAATAATGATTAATAATGGTTAACAATGGTTAATATGTGGTATACCTAATATGATCTGGTTGGTGGTTTTTCGCCCTAGCCCTCTGAAAAATGATGGAGTTTGAGTTAAAGTCAGTTGGGATGATGAGATTCCCCAGAAAATATGGAAAGTCATAATCCATTCATGTTCCAAACCACCAACCAGATTAGGTAGTAGAAGTCCTTATTTTAACCAATCAATCAGGATATCTCTTGTGGCTCAATTAATCACAGCCTAAGTCGTCCGCCTAAGTTTCCAACCGTCACAGCTGAAAGCTGATTGGTTCACAGCCGACTGAGCCCCGAATTTTGATACCTGGATCTGTCTGAAAATGGGGTAACACAAAGGCCCCAGAGAGGATTCCTAAAATGGGGGTACCCCTAGTTTTCATCCAAAATTCGATCATCTGAGTATATTTCAACCTATGGTGACTTGGGGACCCCCCCATTTGAAGAAACCCCAGATGGGTATCTAATGATAATGAAGAATCCAGCGAGATGATAGGGATAGAATAATAATCATTCAGGACGTACAAGTTTGACCCAATGTTCATACATCCAACTAACACTGGGATTGACCACAACGTGCCTCGTTGCTATGATAGTTGCAGTTTTGTCAAGAAAGTTGCACTGGTTGGGATTGTCCAAATCTAGTTGAAAAAGGTAGGTAAAATAGATGAAATAGTCATTTGGGTATGTGTCAAAACCCACCCTGGTGACAAAAAAAACATTATGGGATCATAGGTCCTAAAACGACATGCCGTATGTATCATATGATCCACCATGGGAAAATTGAGCAACATACATGCATGTTTCTCAGTCTGTCTTGTCCTGACTTATTTTTTCTTAGCTATATAAGCTGGTATTTAAAACTAACAACTCTTAGCTACCCTCTGGTAAACTAACATAGCTATTGAACATGGCCATAGAAATAGTGAGTTGTCCCATTAATAACATGGTGATTTTCCATAGTTTTTTGTATGTTTACCAGAGGGTATGTCCCAATATAAGCTCGTTTTATGATGTCCACCTATGATAGTCCCAAAAAAATGTTCCAAATGTCATTTTAGTAGGATTTTCCCTTACCCATAGGATCCATGTATGCTATATATGGTAACATTTACCATCAATATACCCCCAATGTTAGCATATATACCAGCACCATGGATCCTATGGGTTATAAACCAACAACTTCTTTTGTGCTTCTTGGTTTCTTCCCCACTTCCCGCGCGGGAAGTGCACCATTCCAGTGCTTGTTTACCAATCCTCAGCTCCGGGGCCACGGCATCATGGTGTATTCGTGATCCAATTACGGTAATAGTAGTCAAACAGGGGGACGGAACAGAAACCCAAAGAAAGGGGAATCTAAACCGGCAAACCCTGCACATGAAAACAAACAAGCGCACGGCTTTTTGTGCACTTGAGCCATTGCGTCGTTAGCATATACAATTACCCCGGACCAGGTTGTTGTTAGGTGAGGGGTTATGGATATCTAACTCTAACTACGGCTCTCTACATACCTAACGCATCTAGGCATGTGGTGCTACTCTACAATATTGGGAATAGCTACTTTGAATTAGTTGGACTCATAGCTACGGCAGTGCTCTACATATGACCTACTACCTATGCTATACATAGTGGGGCTCAGGGGTCGGTATATTTCAACTCCCCCCTCGCCTGTTCCACACATACTGCGCATTGGCAGTGAGCTAAGCAACTACTGTCGCGTGAACGGGCGTCCACAGCGACCTATGCTTTGGCTTTCAGGTCTAATGGGAGGTCAGTACGGATTCCTAGAAGGATTAGTGCTGCTGCCCATTTATGTGGGGGCAATGCCTTGGTGAATATGTCTGCCGCCTGGTCATCGGTGTGGGTGTACTCTATCTCGGCAGAGTCATCTCTGAAGACCTCAGACAGGCAAGACAAATTAACTTTGTGTGTTCTAGTTATATGGCGAAGCTTGGGACTATATCCTTTCTTCACAACTAGGATTGTTGCTTGATTATCTTCGTGGACCTTAAGGGTTACGGAGCGTGCAAGCAACAGCTCCCATAACTGTAAGGCAGGCAAGCCTTCTTGATAAAGCGAATGGGCTAAACTAACAACCTCGCTTTCCGTGGTCGATCTAGAAGTGGATGTTTGGCGCTTGCTAATCCATGCAAGTGGGAAGAAGGAACTAGGGCCAGTTAAAACCAAAAAGCCACCAGAGGTTGAGCGTGCAGTGGATCTGTCGCCGGCGAAGTCGGCATCGACAAACAGTCTGAGCTCTAGGT